TAAATAGATGCAATATGATATATACATGTACTTACAGTGATACCTGGACATGGAATAGAGTGACAACTATTATTGTGTTCTTATAAATCTGGTTATATATGATATAAGGACATAACATAGATAAATGTGCTCTATTTAAAGGAAGGCACACTTTTCTTTCTAAGAGATAATTATATGCTTTATCTGAGATATCGCACTGTACATTATTGCCAATAAAGCATGTTACTGGCGAATAATGGCTAAGGAACATCAGAGACAAATTAACGCACCATGCAAGTCCAACTTAAGTTTTTTTCTTGACATGTTATAATGGAAAAAACATTTTGATTTTGTTTGCTCTGTGTTATACATATAGCACGATATTTTGTTCAGATGTTTATAGGCCTACGGCCTCCGTGATTATATTACCACATACCCTGCTATTTCATAGCACAGTTAACTCAAAATCAAGATATATTTACTTTTTGATGCACCCTAAAATTAACTTTCTCACCTTACTTTATACAAGATTGTAGTCATACGAGTTTTAACATCTTGTTTGCCTCAAAACTTCCCATAGAAACGGATGTCGCATTTCGTATTCAACAACTTCATAAACAACTTGATGATATGTGTAAGATAATCCATTAATTTAGAATAGTTTATTTTGATAAATAATCGTTATATGTGCACGAAGGGTTGCTAGGCCATATAAAAGCACTGAATTCTAAATAAGAGGTCATGAATACAAAATTTATGGGAAATATATCTCTTTCTATTTTCATTTTCCACAATGGCATTCAAAAATGCGTTCAGAGGTATGACAATTCGTATATTCTCAGACAAAAAGCACATGCCTGTACAAAGATCACATGCCGGTGCCGTCCTTCATGTTGTCTGAAGAAGATTTTGCGAGATATTCGGCACACATTTATTTTCTTAAATGAGCTATAAATTTGATTATAAAAAGTTAGTTATGCAGTGTACGAAAAACATTATCAGTATAATGTGTTACATAAATGTGTAAACAAATTAAATGAAAAATATTAAACTCAAACCTTTTTTAAACATTGTAATGGAGCAAACTTTTATCACAGGATTATAGTCTTTTTTTTTTCATTCATATTTTTTTTTGCCAGTGTCCGATTATGAACTTAGACTGCTTCAAAAAGTGTAGCCAGAATCAATAACACATAAATGTGTACGCAGTATCTCGATTTTTTGAGAGTGTACGCAGTATTATTATGTCTATTTCCTGTAATTAGTTCATTTTAATACATTTTTGTACAAAGGAAAAATATCAAAGCTTAAAAATATATTAATGAAACAGATTCTACAATAAACTAACTTTAAGTTGTGTGAAACTTTCAGTTTAATCGACAATTTCTCAATTTCTGTAACATTTCAAAGCTGGGTGTACGCATTATCATCAATCAAAATCGCATCCAGCGCGAAATACTGACGAGAAAGGGAAGACTTGTGTCGAGGCATTTGGAATATCAAAACTAGAAGTAAGGACATCTTCTTAAAGATTGCAAAAGAATCAAATTCAAATCTATTCTGATTGCTTTACATGATTCGTTTTTGTTCAAAATACCAGTAGAAAAGTGTTTGCGGTATATCAGAATTTTGATGATGCGCGTGCGTCCTATGACCCCTTGTATTGGCACTTGACCTATAAATCATGTAAACAACCTTACTGACCAAGTTCAATGATTATAGACCGAAACAGAATGATCTTGCATCTTGAGTATTAACACTATGTTTGTTTGTTGTTGTTGTTTTTTTTTTTTTTTTGTTTTTTTTTTTTCTTTTTTGTTGTTTTTTTCAATATTTTGACAATATTTCATAGCGATGTTTACATCAAACACAAATTTCGTCCACTGTCATTCAAAAAAATAAAATGAAGATATAACTTTTAGTTAATGCAAATGGTATATTATTTTGTAAACTCAAATTTTATAAAATATGTAAATGAGGGATAATCCAGAATTACGCAGAATCGGTTTAAACTGCAGAACATTATCGATGTAATGTCATCAATAACTGTTTAGTTCGACTAAAATAACTAATGGAAACGAAAAAGCGGCGTATCACAATGAAAGCGACGTCCGATGACATTTATCATGCATCAAAATGCCTTTGAAGAAATTGTAATGCTATCATTTAAATAAATTCTAACTGATAAAATATATATATCTAAATGTTTTATGTATGCACTTTATTAATCCAAACTTATTCTTATTGCAATGAAGTAAATCAAAACTGACTGACACATTTGCTTTCAATTCTATGTTTTAAACAAAAACTAAAATAATAGAAGTTCTTTTCTTATATAAATAAATTAAGCATATTTATGCATTCAATTTTAAGATGCGTATGTTTTGATAGCACACACACACACGCACGCACGCACACAGACACAATTAAATCAAATAAAAGTTTAATTGTTAAAGGTTTGAGTTGTAAGCACACTTAACGTACCTTGAATGATATCCTGACTTTTCCAACAAAAGGACTCCTTATGGTGACTGTGAGAACATAATTATTCACCAAATAATAGGTTTTAAAGCATCAACATGATAGTGCCAAAATAATTTGGAAACTTTATATTATGTTTTTGACGTCAACGCTTATGACGTTGTGAGAACGTTCAGACACCGCCGTATGCGCATTATTACGCTTGCTTAAATATGCATGATGTGCTTACACCCTCAGAAATATTTCTTCGTATCGTACGATGGGTTGCATGAATCATAGTTGGTTTGCAATCGGACCATCTTGTAACCTAAACTTAATACGGATTGAAGATAGTACTTAGATGTACACATAAACAGAGGGTGTAATCCTTGATTTATGAATACAAATGTATATATTTGAGATCGAAAAAAAAATAAAGCCTTTTTCTGTGAAATTATATTTGAAAATATGTCTGAATATCATTAAATAATGTTAAATATAAAATGCAAGCTTACAATAATAAACAAATCCGAATTATTGTCCATGGGTAGGCATTATGTACTTTCGGTTTCTAAAACCATACTGATAATTACATAAATAATGTTATATACTAGTACACTTTTAAATCTATATACTTACTTAATTTAGGTGGACTTAAAATGGATATTTTGAAAACTAAGTCAACAACTTCCAGCAATAAATTATTATTTGTAAACACGTTATGTCTCCTAGAGTAGGTTATACCGTATTCGTTCTATGTATTCTCACAACTTCGTTCGTGATCTTTATCCGAAGTTTGACGGAAAGTGCCCCGAAAAGTTGATAAATTGGTTAGCTTTATGCGTGCAGTAGTACGTTTATATCAAAACCAGCTTTTGAGTTCTGACATATACAATTCAAAATTGCAAATAACAAGAACCTCTCTGAACTCATTTTTAATATAATTTTATAACCCTTTTTTTAATATATAGATACATCTTAAAATTTCTATGGAATTACCTGTCTCTTTTTAAAGGCTTGACACATATATGAACTTGTATGTGTTTTTGAACTTTTTATTATCTTGCTTTGCATAAATGTTATATAAATTAATACTCTCTATATTTTTGCATATCATATAATTATACTAATTCTGTAATTGTAAGATACACCTGGGATTCTCCCCGACCCCTTTGTACCTATGACGGGGTCAATAAAATAACTAAAAATAAATAGACTTGACCGGAGATAATGGAAAGCATATTAAGATTTGTAAGTTCACGTTTTGGCATTGAGGTTGGCCATATGACATAACTCATCATTTTTTGGTGAAAGAAACACCAAACATGCACGCATGTACGCATACATAAAAAATCACAGATATTTATCATTTTTTAATAATTAAACAGCAACAACAGAATGATATAAATAAACAGTTATATCATTTTACAATTTTTAAAGCTTAAACTTTGGTTGAATTGTGTTTTTTTTTAAATATATTACATTCAACTTATTTTATCTTTAATAAATAAATGCTCGTGTAAGTGTTGTAAAATTCAACTGGTAAGCTAAATTGGACATTATTCAACATTAGAGGCCAACCAACCGATTTTTTTTTTGTTTTGCGTTTTAAACTGAAATTAAATTTATGTTTAAACAAACTTTTGATAAATTGTGTGGGAAAATTTTTATTTATCCTTGCTGATTTTTTTGAAATCAGCAAAAAAATAAGTGAGTCTGTACACTGATTATCTTACAAATTCATTTATAATTTAAGCGTTTAATAATCTAAACATCTAATAATCTATTATTTCAAAATAAAACAAACCATCACATTCAGACATAAAATAAACCTTACATTTGAATCCATCCAGCGATGGTAATTTAAAATTTCAAGATCTGTGAGTCAAAATAATTAGCAAAAGGTGGCAAGGTATTTGATACCTAATGTAGAGCCTCTTTCCTGAATAGTATTCATTTTCAATGACGATAATAAGTATATGTCGCGTGTCAGTTCAAGCTCTCCTGATGGGGCATTTTTTTCAGTATTCACCTTTTTTTGCTCATATTGCTTGGTCAAATTTTGATTTAGCATTTTATTTATTTGAAAAATCTTAAATAAAGAAATCTCTCAAAATTGTACACGTGTTATATTTTTTAGTGTAAAATGAGTGAAAATAGGAAAGTTTTACAATTTGAAATATCTATATTTCCAAATCGGGATGGTAAATCTTCCTAATTTTTGGAACAAATGTTCAGAATGGTATCTAGATAATTATTGTATAAAGATACAAGGATGCCCCATCAAAGGTTGAAAAATCTGAACCGGTTTTTTCTCCTCTTTCTGTTATGATACAGGTTTCAGTTTACATCAGTTTCTTTTTTCATAAACACTTTTATTTGGTTGAGTTTCTTATTATTTCAAAACTATGGTAGATTCTTTGCACTCTTCTAAAGTAAGATTATAATGAAAGAAGTCAAACTTATTTGCCGCAGTTGAAAATATATTTAACGAACGTAAAACGTTTAAATCAAATGCCACTGAAATCAAATTTAAAAAGTAAATCTAAAAAAACACTTACTTTGTATCTTCCAGGCGAGGGTTTTCAATAAGATCAGAATACCACGATACCGTGGGCGCTAGCTCTTTTATATAGGCAAATACTAATTAGAGCAAAACGCAAGAATATGTAGACAGTTGTTCTGCATAAGTTTAGACGGATTAAGTTTCGACTTTGGTATAACATATTTTTGTATTTATTTTTCTGAAGGGTTATAAGACACACACTGTCAAAAAACTTAATTATGAACATTTTCTGAGGTAAAGCATAAGAGTATTAAACATTTTCTCTTTGGCTTTTGTACTTAAAATGAACTGATCAATTTAAAAGCATTGACCAATTTAATAGTTTTATAAATAATGCAACTTGTTTACAAAATGCGTATGAGACCACTAACTGTACTTCGCAACTGTTTGATCCTATCCCTTTGAAAAACTTTTAAAAACTACAAAATAATTTTTATATACATTATACATTAGATTTCTAAAGGACGGGAAAAGCAATTCATTGATGATCCTTTAGCGAATTTATGCTAAGTTTGGATACTTTAAACTAAATTTGGGACATATTATATAAATTCAGTTAAGGGGGAATTAAATTTAAAAAAATGCCTTCCATAGTTTGATAAAGGGTACTCGTATTTGAGTTGGGAAGTGAGATAAATTACCTTTCTTTGGCAGGGTATTTACAGAATAAGTAACATATTATAATTTGCGAAACTGGACTTTCGGGTCGTAATTATGGTTTAAAGCATTGAGAACTATATTTAACCACAAAGCCTAAGCGCAAATCTGTAAACAAAAAATGAAACTATTGAAAAGCCTCCCGAAAAGTTTTTAGTCTCATGTCAATATTGCCAAACAGGTTTTAGAATTCTGGATAAAGGTCAATCGACTTAACTGTTTGTTGTATTCTATTTACGGAAGTTGTTAAATGTGTTGTGTTTCCCCAAGTTTATCCACCTGTGCATTTTTACCGTTGTAGCTCAAGGCGCACTACCTTTCATAATAGAGTTGTAAACCCGTTGCGTTAATTTTCTAGGTTTAAAACCGTAAAATTTTATTAGTTCTCATTGGTTTGCTCAAAATTTAATGCCGAAGTAAGTCAAATAGGTGTAAGCCTATAGCAGAAAAGTAACTTAAATGATGACTCAAATCTTAAAGATCTACGCCACATTATTAAAATGACAAAACCAGACGCGATAGACAATCATGTCTCCTGAACACTATTAATGAATTCAATGCTGATCAAATTTTATCTAGAATAAACATTAATCCAAAATGATTACTTTTGAATTGCAAAACTTTAAATAAGGTGGCGTCTGTATTCAAAATACATTTTACTCGTATTTTAGTAATGTTGTGAAACAAATAAGTGGTTCAAAGATTTTCTGCATAAATGGATGTGAAATATTGTTTCAATACACACTTCAGCTTCCCCTCATGATAAATTGAACTCCCACAAAACATATCAGTTTTCTGAAAAAAGATTTTAGGAGTTAAAAAACTACATAAAATGATCTTATTAATGGAGAACTTTGTAGAATATCTTTTCATTGTAGACATCGTTTCAATATTGTTAAATTTTGGATGAAAATAGTGTATAGTTCTAGCAACTGAGGGTGGCAGCAGGTAGTTGTGGTTTTCGTTAGTTCATGCTGATGTAGAGGCCGTTTGAGACCGTACGTGGCCGTGTGAGACCGTGTATACCTGTACTATACCGTGTCTGCCATGTATGATTCGTACTTGAACCGTATTGGTCGTATGGCGATCGTTTGAAACAGTGTATGCACTCGAGTGAATCGTACCGTGATCGTGTGACATTCGGATGTAAATCGGGTGTTGGATGTAGGACTTGGGGACGATCTTGAACGATTCCATACGATTTATATACGATCTTGGCACGGTTGGGCTCACTCTTGGAATATATTCAAATACGATTGTATAATGGTCTCACACGGTCTCTTACGGTCTTGCACGGTCGTTTATTCGATCATATACGGACATTACATCGGCACCAATTTTTTTTAAGTTTTTGAATTATACACCGCTTGCACGGATACACTCGAATGGCCCGAGTGTAACCCGATTAAATTCACGGTTAGTTCGGTTGTATGTACGGTTTACACGGTTTGCCAACGGTATAAGCCGTGTATTCTGTGTGAGATGGGCTTTATGTTAAGCCCGATTCACATAGAGCACAGTAAAGCACACTGTTCCAATACGGTATACTCCATTATACACGGATTGTCTGGTACGGGTATTTAGCTCAAACTGTTGGTACGAGTAAGACACGAATGAAGCACGACTATGTACGAATAAAGCACGGACATACTCGGTCAAGCAATGTTTGAACTTGAGTTCTATAAGAATTCATACGATTGTTGTACGGTTTCAAGTATGGTCTAGTACAGTCTGGTACGATTAAACACGACCTCTACTCCATGTAATCGGTTTCACAGGGTAATCATATGGTCCCGTCGACTTCTGTTCAAGTTTTGCTCGTATTATAACATATTTGTTTATGTTTTGATATCAATTGAAACATTTAATTGTTTGGCATCCGAGTCTGAATCCTTGGGAGATATGGGTATCTCTTCAATTAGTGCCGGTGGTCCTCTAGCTCATCAGGATCGGCAGGGTTAGCAGGATGGTCAATGAAGTGGTCGGCGGGCCGGGTGTCCCTTCTTGTATTTCTTCTGTGCATTGGAAACTTCTTCTTGAGATGCATTCTAGTGTGATGCAGCAAGTACTCTATGTAGTTGTGGTTTGCTTTGTACATTTCGTGCTGACGTATAGGCCGTGTAAGACCATACGAGACCTTTATAACCGTACTATACCGTGTCTGCCATCAGTGCCATGTATGATTCGTACGTGAACCGTATTGGTCGTATGGCAATCGTATGTAACCGTGTGTACACTCGTGTGTATTGTACCATGATCGTGTTACATTTAGGTGTTGGATATAGGACATGGGGACGGTCTCGAAGGATTCCATACGATTTATATACGATCTTGACACGGTTGGGCTCACTTGTGAAGTGGACTTCAAATACGGTTGTAGTTAATATAGATCTCATACGGTTTCACATGGTCTTGTACGGTCATTTATACGATCATACACGGACATGACATTCGTGCCAGTTTTTTGAGGTTTTAAAAATCATACACGGCTTACACGGATACACTCGAATGGCCATAATCATCGTAAAAATTTCCCAAAAAAGTATTTTATGCTCAAATAACATTTACTGTTTGGAGTTCGGGAGAGAATTATATCCAGGGCGTTTTTGATGCGCTCTGCGACAAAAAAAATATTTATCAAAAGGTTCCCGATTTGGAAAATTAAATTTTTTATTTTGATTCTAAACAAATCAAAAAATAAATGCTGCGTTGTTTAAGCTAAAATTTTTCCCCGATATGTTTCCGACTTATTTTCAGCGCGTCGCATTTTTTAATGGCTACGTCACATGTATAATGATAACGTCATATTTCTTAATATAGAACGTCAAAAGTGACTTTGTTGCATAATAACACTCACTTTCGGTTCTTCTATTTTCAATAGGGAAAAGTGCTGGTCATGTTAGAATTAATGGTATATTTAATTTAGCTGTTTGTATGATTATAAAAGATGACCAAACTCACACCATACCAATGCATCTCACATTGATAAGTGAAGTTGGTCATCATCAGCTTTTGTTAATCGTATGGAAGGCGTATTTAAAGTTGGGAATCATCTGCATTGAAGTTATTTGAAATATAAGAGATAACGATAATATATGTAATTCAGTCATTAATTTTTCTGGTAATAATAAAAAACAATTTAATAGTATATAAAATAGCGATGAACATGGAATTATTATTTATTAAAAGGATGAGTCTTGGCTATGCTAGACAAATTAAAAACTATTTAATCACAATGAAAATAGTTTACATGACATATTTACGTTGAAAACAAATTAACTTTTCACATTGCATAAATTTTCCGAATGATAATTGTGCATAACGTGAAAGTTCTTTGATTTGTAAAGATTAGAGTCAAAGTAATAGCATTAAAAATATTTAATAATAACACCATGCAAAATTAATTTACTCTCTGTTCATGTCGCTATTTTATTTAATTAAGTGACATTTGTCGCATATTAAGGGGTATATATTTGAAAGAAGATTATGTCAACAGTCAAAATAATGTTACCGATTTCACTTTAGTATTCACTTACAATTTTTTAGATACAAAAAATAACGCACTGGCTAAAAATAAATCTATTAATATCGCTCGAATTTACCCCTCCTTTCAATCATAAAAAATTACTTTTTTAATTTATAGGCTGATTTATGATTTTTTCTAAACATTGTCCAGGCATTAATTGTTGGCCAAAAATACATATCTACAATAACAGTTACTTCTTTGAGAGAAATATACTAGATCAAGTATTCACTTATATTAGACATATGAATGAAATGAGCATAATGTATTATTTTATTTATTCTTACTAATCATCTCTCTATATTCATAGATGCATGACAGAATCACAATCATCAGTTATTATTCCCCATTTCATTGTGTTCATTGTGTTCCATTTAATTGAAACCACTGTATCATGCCATTTCATTGACTTATGTTGATAAAGCACATGCCTGATAAATTCAGCTTTATCTGTTACCATCAGATACCACATCAATACATATTGAAATTGAATAAAGAGAGTAGAATAGTTTAACTTCTTTTAAATGTTAAACTGATAAACTTTGATTTCCAAAGGTTGATTTCTCTTACATAATACTAAAAAAAATTGAAAATATTTCTTATATAGTCATGAATTCGAGACCTTCTTGACAGGGTTATGTTTCATTTAAAAATTTAATGAAGAAATGCAAAATGAAATTGAAAACATGATTAATAGAATAAAAAGTGACTGGTGTTATAAAATTTATCGAGCTTGGCACGAACAAAATGAGACTGGTCCTTCTTTTTTCATAGCCTTGCCTGGTCATTTTTTTGTAATTTAAGACACTTACATTACATTCTCTATTTCTAGCATTCTCTATTTCTAACA